CTCGCACAAATCCGCTGCTACGTCCAATTCGCCTGGCTGATGAAATATCCAACTGCATATAAACAAATCACAACGAACACAGCCAGTGTTGCCAAGTTTTACATTTGAAAAAGCACCAAATTTTTATTGGAGTACGAAAAGAAAGCAAAAACCAAAAACGAAGTTTCATGAAGTACGTCGTGGTAGTTTAAATCTCACTGCTCTCTCTTATGATCTTTTGATCTAAAGGAACATAAAGAATTTTTCTTTCCACCGTTTAAAACCTGAAACATAAAGGCCGCAGAGCTATAAATTACAACAATGCCATCCATATATTTTAATGAGCTACGCACACTTGCACGATTCCGACGCTGCGAATTTTTCGAACATTCAATGTTCCTCTCTTTTGACGCGTTCAAAACGCACTCAACTAAAAGTATTCCGTTTTGAATAAAGAAAAGCACTAAGTTTAGTGCGAAAAGCATAGCGTTGGCAACAGTGAACACAGCTGTTTTCTAGTGTGCTGCCAGATGTGACTTATTTTATTGCGTGTGGCAAATTTATGTACTAGGGTAGGTCTTATTTCTGAGGATCGAACCAAGCGACCTGCGACATATAATCCGTCCTGCGTCGATAAGCGCTATCCGCAAGACTTCAGGCATCAGGGTTTTTGTTATTACTCTTTTAACGGCATAGAAATTAACCAAATAGTTTTTGGGGAATGATGCTGAGGGGATAGTCCTTGATCAGATATGAATCTTGGTCGTTCGGTTACGTAGACCCGACTGTGGCATTGTATATCGTTCAAGCCGTAGGTTCATGAACCAAAAAGACAAGATCACGACAGCAGAAGAGTGGCCCGTTATAATCGCACTTATGAAAAAAGTAGGGCGATTTTGACATAAGCCGTTTGTTTACATTTGTTCGTTGTTTACATATTGCTGGTGGTTTTTTACTGCAATTTTCTTCATTTGAAAATAACTTTTTTCTTTCTTTCCTTAAGGCGTGATCTTGTGTCTTTCGTTCATGCCGTAGGTTGTTGTTCCTTCGAGAGTAGACGGTCATGACTTAATGCAGTTCTTTCAGCCATTGAGGCGTTTTCTTGCGTGTGTTGGCGGTTCGTTGCGAAACGGAGCTTCGGCGACATGGTTTCTACTGTGGAGCTTAGTCGTGGACGAACTACTACAGATGCAGGGCGTCCGATACCAAGGGTACGCGGACGACATAGTGATTATCGCGACATCGTCAAAAGAGGACTTAACCTTGCAAAAAGATGGTGCGCAGACATAGGTTTAAATATCAACCCTTCAAAGACAGCTATAGTCCCCTTTACCAAGAAACGAAATCTCCAGGGGATAAGGAACTTGACCTTAGGCGGGGTCGTAATCAATGTCGCCACGAAGGTAAAGTATCTGGGGTTTAAGTTGCAGTCCAAGCTTCTGTTGTTGTTATGTTGATGCGGTCACCTTTAAGGCTAGAAGAGCGATTATGGTGTGCAAACGTCTAGCGGATAAATCCTGGGGGTACACTCTGAGGATCCTCAGATGGATGTACACCATGATAGTGACCTATGGTGCGGTAACTTGGAGTTCCAGGAATACTTTGGGAACGGTTAGGCAGACCCCCTCAAAGATTCAATTTCTAAACGATATTAACCGAGAGGTTATAACAAGGCGACCTGGTGTACTTCTATTATGGAGAGTCACATGCAGGCGAGCACACTACAGTGGTTCACTGACTTAAACACCTAAGGGGATTAGAACAGGCGTGCACGGCCCCAGGCTGAAGCTTTCGGTGCTCATGGGAACCTTGGATAGCATCTTTCAGGCGGAGGTCTATGCCATTAGAATGTGTGTTGAGATTAATATTTCGTAGAAATTATAGGAATGAGAGAATACTTACATTAAGCGACAGTCAGGCGGCAGTTATGGCTCTCTCTTCATTCGAGATCAAGTCCTCCTTGATTTTGGAGAGTGTAGAGAGGCTTGAGGCTCAGGCGGAGGTTTTGATATCCAACTGATGTGGGTACCAGGGCACATGGGGGTCGTAGGAAATGATCATCTGGCCAGAATGGCCGCTTCTTCGACTCCGATAGAACCTGAAAGGAAAATTGCAAACTGAGGGAACTGCACTGGCGTAACACCATGGGTCAAGGTCAAGCAAAAAGCATATTAGGAGGATACAATCTGATAAGATATAGGTTACTCATGGATCTCTCAAAGGAGAAACCAAGAATATTTACAGATGTAAGAACTAAGTACCTGGCTCAGCGACCTGTGTCGGCCTGTGTGAGGCCGTTGAACCAGAGAACGTTTATGAATGAGAAGGCGGATTTTCAGTGTGAACTAATTGCCGCCAGAAATTTTTAGTAGCGGTCGAGCAAATATACCACTCGTCGACGAAATTCACCACTCGTCACGGAAAATTTTTTGGTATGGTGCTAAACAAATTTGGTCATATCTCCAATTTTTGAATTAAAAAGCTTTTTTTCCGAACTAAAATGTAATTTTATTGCTTTTCAAGAATTGAGAAAGAAATCTACTGTAAAACTGGATTGTACTACATATTTTGTTTCAGTAAAGAAGAACTTACTATTAATTTAGAGGATCCACAAGACGTTCTAAGCGATGTCTTAAAGTCTGACAAATTTAAAATTTTAAATACCATTTAATACATTTTAAAGAGATTTGTAACTGAACCAATTTCTTTTTAACTCATAGGATATATCGCACGTTTACTAGTACAGTGGTGTAACTCAAAATTTACGTTTTTGGAAATTTTATTATGTAATTAATAAGCTTGATAAGTAGAATATGTTCAGTCCAACAGATAACCAAACTTCCCAAATATGGCGAAGATATGTGCCTTTCCATCCGTCTTTTTGTATACTAACTGTATGAAATGATAAAACTTTGATTGCGTTTTCCCACAAAATTTAAATATTGAAATACTTCGTTATATTATTAAACGTGCGATATATTCTGGCCTAATTCCGTTTGTCGTTTCTATGTCGCCGCTTTTATCGTCGTTTCGTTCCTAAACTTGAATTATCTGCAATCGTTTAAGCTTAGTTCTAGACAATGAGGGCGAAAAATAACGAATATTATTTGTATGTCGTTACTATCTGTCGGTATATGTATATCGGATAAACGTCGATAGCGCCAACGGTGATGCCAAATTCTCGTCTTAATTTCATTTCCAAACGACCACGCCTACGGTAATGGGCAAGCTTATTGGCTCTTATTATACCCTGCAGATCTCTTAAAAGATTTTAAACATTACTTTACATTGACAATTTTTAAGACTTTAAGACACAAGTTGTGAATCCCCTTAATATGTTTAAACTTTCATTCAAAATTCGCGCCGGTGATATTTGTCCGGATCAAAGTAAGATGTAACCACGACACGATCACTGAATTTACGTCCAGTCAGCGCCTGTTGTGCCTTCTGACAATCCATAACTGAATTGAATTCAACGAATACTTTACCACAACCGGGCACATCAACGCCCTCAATGGGTCGTGGTATCTCAACACTACGGACAACGCCATACTTATTGCATTCCTCCTTGATATCCTCCAAAATATCTTCATATTCCTCTTCGTCCCGTAGCTCATCTGGTGTTACCATATTAAGCAAGCAGAGAACTTCGGTGGGTGGCCCAGAATTGACTACAAGACTTGAAAGGCCAGGCACCTAAACCAACGCTCGTTAGTTTGGCGTTCTATTCATTAATTTGAAATGGTATATTACCTGTATAGTTACTGGTGCCGCAGCAGCGGAATTAGTTTGCGCATTTTTAGCGCCAACACTTGCGCGTTGTACTATCAATTTCTTGTCACCCAATTGCATACCGTTTAAGCCAGCAATCGCCTGCGGAAAATTTTGAAGAGCGTTTTAATATTTTGTAGAATATACTCTGATTGATTGTCTTACTTGATCAGTGATGCTCAGGTCAACATATTCGCAAAAGGCATACCCTTTGCTCAAGCCTGTTGCGGCATCCTTCACCAAATTGAAGGCACGCAATTGCCCGAAGGAAAGCAGTAACTCTTTAACCTGTTGGAATATTTAAACGTTAATTTTATTATATATGGTTGAGCCGAAATTTATCCAAGATGTGGGAGAATGCACAGCTTATAAAATGTTATTCAAATAGATGGCTTTTTTCATTATGTAATTTATATAACTTATTTATTGTTAGTATAAAATGGACCGCAATTAAAAGAAGGGTACATATGTACTATGTAGGTAAATATGTAAGTATGTATGTTATTTATATATATAATTTTATAAGGTGCAGTCTCCCGTGTGCTTAAAATATCTACCGTGGTTTGATATAATATATTCCTATCACATCTAATCCTATGCAATTCTTAATACGGTTGCGATTTTGCATCCCTTTTTGGGAATTCCAGGAATGAAGTTGGAAAAAAGTATAAGATATATTTTAAACTTGCCTTTAATCATATTGTGTTAAAATTTCTCATTGAAAAATTCATTGCAAATGTTACTCCACGATTTTATATATCACACAACAGCATATTGAATTACGGTGCTTGTATAGAAGCGTTGAGCAACGCGGCTCAAACTAATCTACAATTACATAATTGGGAAAAATTATCAGTATGAATTTTGAAGAAAATTAGTATATAGTTTGTACAGATATGTAAATTAAGACTCCGATAAGGTTGTCATGAAAATTAAGTTTTAAGCTGAAAAGATTTTTTTAATGCTGAAATGAAAAGAAATTTATTAAAATTAATCCCGAAACCAATTTAGCAAATGCAATTAAACTTTGCTTCGGTAGTTGTAAGAGGCTTTTCAGCGAACCACCAATACCCAGCTAATTATTTAAGTCACTTTGATTGCCAGATTTCATATATATAGGTATGTGCTCGAATCTAAAAAGGAGTTGAAGAATTTTGGAAATTTCTACAAGAGAAAGTTGAATACCAATAAGTCTTGCTGCATCCTAGCAGTTTTCTTTAACAGTGCGGCATAGCGGTGCTGTCTCGTTCTTATATATGTACACGAGAACAAATTGTGCTGAACACATTTGCCGCAATTTGCTCAGCGTTAAAAAATCAGAAGAAATTGCGGCAACGCAGCTGTGCTGCAGCATAAAGAAAAGCTTGTGCGCATTAAGCTTAACTGTTAGAAATACAATAGCACCAACGTTGACTATGCGTCGTTCAAACTGCGAAAGGTATCCTAAATTTTCCTCTAAAATATTAATCCTTTAATTAGTGTTGCGGACTATAAACAATTCATNAAGAAATACAATAGCACCAACGTTGACTATGCGTCGTTCAAACTGCGAAAGGTATCCTAAATTTTACTCTAAAATATTAATCCTTTAATTAGTGTTGCGGACTATAAACAATTCATATAAAAACCAATTTTCTAAAAATACAAACCTGTTCATCACTTAAGTAATTCGGAAGACCGCCAATGAATATTTTATGTGGTGAGTCCGGTACTACACTCGATACTGCGCCAGGTGATGCTATAATCATTTAACAAATACATACATAACATACGTTTAGCACATTTCTAAAAAGTAAGCAAAGCTTAATTTACCAGCCGTTTTAATGCTAGGTGCATCCGTCATGCCGGGCATAGGTTGGTAATCATGCGGCCGCCGAATTTTAAGACTTTGACCTTTAAGATTTATGCCGTCGAAGGCCATAGCTTGCGTTGTCTCGTCAATGGAGCGAAACTCTAGAAAAGCAAAGTTTTTATCCAAGTTTATCTGGCACGCCAGCACTGGATTGCCGTCAGCCTGTGCCAAACCAATTAAATGCATTTGCTGATTAAAGAAATCCATCATTTCTTCTTCCGTTATACCGAAGGGAATATTGCCCACATACAGACGGCGAGCTTGTCTCGTTATAGTTGAACCAACTACAGGCACCGCAGCCTGTGGGATATCGGGTACGACACTTGCCGGTATTTGACCAGAAGCTTGCAAAGCTTTATACTGCATAGGCGTTATGTGTTCATATCCTGGCGGTGGTACATCCCAATAGAGTGAAGGCTTGCGTCTGCTTATGCGATGTCTCGAGCGATCTCGATGTCGCGACCGTGAACGACTACGTGAGCGAAGTCGCTCACGGCGCCCCCGGTCTCGGTCACGGTCTCGATCTCTATCACGATCACGGTCTGAAAAGAAGTTTCTTGAATGGTTTTTGTGTTGATTCAATCCAACAGGCTAGCTTACCGTGGTAGCCCATTACTCTGCTTTTTAGTATAACCGTAAGCTGCTTTATGAGAAGTTTTGCAATTTATATTTATTTGCTTTTAATAAGCTCGATTTTTCTTAATTTCAATGAAGTACAATTTTTGATTAATTATTGTACAAAAATTATCGCGAAAAAAAATTGCCGTCTTCCACATAAAACGATTGGTGATGCAAACAATACGTCGATGTCTTTGAAAAATCGATAGTATCGGTTCAAAATTAAGGGCTAACTATAATAGTTGCGTTCGCGTAGCTGTTAATTGTTCATGTTTAACCAAAACTTACAAGTTTTTGCGTTCGCGTACGCAAAAAATTTGCAAAGTAGGGGAAATTGAGAGAGGACATTTCATTTTGAGGGGAAGCTGTTGTTGTTGTTGTAGCGGCACTACTAAGTCCCGCCTGTTTCGGGTCAACTTGTAATCATTATCGTCAAGCTCAACTAAGGGTAGGCCCAGGAAACGAGCTGTTTCGATGGGGTCGGACCAAAGGGAGTGAGGTGTTAGTTGAGTCGGATTGAGCTGGCATGTGAAGAGGTGGTTGGTGTCGTGGGGGGAGTCTCCACATGCCGGGCACTCATTTGGGATGTTTGGGTCGAGTCTGGACAGGTAGCTGTTTAGGCGGCTACAATATCCAGACCGTAACTGAGCCAGGGTAACGCGGGTCTCTCTAGGTAACTGAAGCTCCGTCTCTTCCACAGGTGGTGATTGGGCTCCGATAACGACATTCCTAGGCCGGGAGTCGAGGTAGGTGGAGACAGACTCCCTATGAATGTCGTTAATCGCTCGTCTGTACGTCATTGGGTCCAGTGGTTGGTCTGTGTAGGTCTGGACTGCGTCCTTGTACA